TTGATGCAATATGCGAGTGGTGCTTGTGCTCAAAACAAAATCCTCAGATGTCCAGCTTGGCATGTTGGTGCAGTAAGTATTGGGTTGCTTGGATTTGTGCCGTTGTTCAAAGTGGCCATGGCACGGATGCATGTGGCAAACATAATCGAGTGATCTCATCAGGAGTGTAAGACCCTGGTTTGTCTTATCACAGTAGCCGTCATCCCATTATTTCGTTAATTTTTCTTGAGACTTTTCGCTCCAGACATTGCCGACATTGTCTGGAAGTTTAGACGTTGTGTGGCCAGCATGCTTGACAAGCAATCTCTATACAGGGTGTGTGCGCGACTTCCAGCTGCCATGACAGAGGGAGGGAAATGCTTCTGGTTCTTCTATGTTTACCTTGTGTTTGGGTGCATGCGCGATGACCCGAGTCGGTGGTTCACTAGTGAGCAATTCTGCTAGAGCTACGCTCTAGCAATATCCCAGTGTCGTGCTTTCAAGTTGCCGATGCGTACCGGCAGAAAGAAATGTCACAAGTGAAGGTATTTGAATTATCTCGAGACGAGAGACGCCACCGGCACCGCCGAGCCTGAGTGATTACAGTAGCCTGGGTGATCGCAGGTGCTAGCCTACTTCGATGTGCTGGTGCAATGCAAAAAATGCAAGAATGCGGTGCCGGCTCGACCGATCATCTCCGTACAATGATGGGCCATTAGGGCATGTACAAATGCAATGCGCACGGTGCTCTGGGAAAGAAACCTTGAATACCAAAGCAGGCAAACCAGAACACTAGAAAATAGTACATTACAAAAACTCGTGCTGTGCTAAAGGAAGCGTAATGAAAACTTTCGGAAGATGTCCACTACTGTCGCCGACTGATTTTTCGGACACCGATTTTTCGGACGCCGATTTTTCGGACGCCGATAATTCGGATTTGTTCAATATTTCGGACCTAAAGGAGGAACCATGACCTACCCGATATAAATGGTGTATATTTATAACAGATTTTTCGGAAAGCTTGAAGTCCAAAAGTTTGGTTTTTCTGACAAAATCGTCGCGAGCGATCAGTGGGAAACACCACAGAGAAGCGGCAATTTAGGATTCTATATGGGTTGCACGTGGATTGGCTTGGTTTGGGTGCGCTACCTGAGTACTGCTAAGACCTACCGCTAGGAAACAATGTACGGCTTTTTTTTTTTCCCTAGCTGTGCATCTTTATCATCGTTGTTACCATTTTGCCTTTGTTCATTCACCATTGCAGTCGTGGATTTGTGCCTATCATTTCAATCTCGTCTCTGTGAATCGTGTTTTCGGACTACGCTAGCTTGGACGTCATTGCCCCGTCTGTTCTTCCACCACAGCGATGTGTCCCTAAAAAGTGCAGTACTCGACTATAACGCTGGAGAAGAAGGCAGGGATTCTCAAGCGAATAGAAAGTTGCCGAATGCAAATGGAGGCATAACCTGAAACAAGGTGTGCAGGCGTAGCTTGAAGCAAGGCACTATATACGGCTTTTTTAAACCCGAAGATTAAAAAGCCCGCTAATAAGAGCAGGTTTTTTAATCTTCGGACTTTTCGGACTGCTCTGATTCAGACGTTTTTTCGGTCCCTGCAAAGTTAAAAAAATCGGTCGGCGATTGTAATTTCAAGACCCAGCTCGGCAACCCCTGTGAGGAAGCTTGGCACCTATCTTCGGCACCTGGGGGCCTGGGGGAAGTAGGTGCTTACCGCCGATGTCTCGCTGTTCACGAAGTAGTTGAATACTTCTAGGAATTTGTAGGTTTTAAGTCGTTCTCAGGTAAATGGGCGAGGCTAGTCGAATAGGTAGTGCTGAAGATGCGCCCACAATACCTTTGGCAGATTTGTCATTTCCTTGAGGAGCAAGTGCTCTTTCTTTTTACCCAAGGGAAGAGAAAGGGATGTCGATCCCGTGTAATTAAATTTCAGGAGGTACCGCAGTTAGTCCTGGGCAGTGATACTTATAAAGTATGCGCTACTCACCAGGGGCCCTCAGAGACAAGCAAAAACAATAGTCAATCGGAAGTAACATACTGCCCCCCGGAAGTTCGGCCATTATTTGTTTTGTAGCGCGAGCTACACTGGCCGAGGTTGAGCAGTTTCGCGTGGCTCGTGCAGAGCCGTGCTGCGCCTTCCAGAGGAGTAACGTCATAGCCGCGGCAGACGCACTGGCACCGCCGCGTGCCCAGCTGTGCGCCTCCGTTGCGCAGTAGCCAAGTCTGACGCTGTACCGCTTGATAGCGCCTCTCATTTTGTGCGCATGTGCAGAGGTATCAGTGGGGGTATACATATAGTGGGGCGTTTGCCAGTGTGGTGTAGCCATGGAGAAGGAGAGCGAAATTGCTGCTGTCACATAATGCGTATACCGTGTGTGTGTCGTTAAAGCAGTAAGCATGATAATCAAGCTAATCCTAGACAACCAGGAAAGTTAAGAATAACCAGCTGGACCTAAGCTCATGCTACGTATATCCTGGCATAGCCGAGCTAAGCCACTGCAATTTTTTTGTGTACCTCCGCACACCCTGTATACTTCGTTTCACCTAAAGTCAAAGCGCAGCATGAGCTGATGAGACCAATCAAACGGCATTAAAAGTCTAACATTGTGAAATCTGTCATCTTTCTGTTTGTGTTCTATTAGCTGAACCAATCGAGCGTGCAGCAAATGCTCCGTGACTTGAGCTTTTAGTATGTGTTTGCACCTCCGACTCTGCTCGTACCTAAAATAAAGGGAAGTAAGTATACATGCGGGTAGAGATGCCGTGAGACACGTATTTCTGTCAGTTTCCTTTCCTTCAACTTCCCTAAATATTACTAGCGCCAACCAGTAATGAAACATATTTTTTATGGCACAATTCTTAGCAAAAATTACATTTTGGCACCAATTGTAGCAGACTTTCGTTCATGGCAAAATTTGGCACAATCAGCTCAGCACTTCCATCACTAAGGCAATGCCGCGTGTAGCGGAAGGCGGTTGAACAGCCACTGCCTCATTCATTAACTTTTCATTGAAAAATAGCTAACAACACTGTATTTGTGTTTAACATCTGACACGCATGTCCATTTGTAAACGCCTGAAGACGGGCTCTCCCCGTGAATAATTTTTGCTTCACGAGAAACCGGCAGGGTTAAGGAGCTGTAAACATGTGAGGTGTGCGGCCTGCTGCTGGGATGGGTGGAGGACTCGTCCCTGCAAGTGCCATAAATATGGATAAATCTACCATCCGCAAGAGGCAATGAAAAATTTATTGTTCCGAGAATACACACAAATTACGGAAAGAGGCTAAGGAAATATTATATACCATGTCTTTTCAATGAACTACCGGGTAATCTGCAGAACCTGCCGTCGTTTAAAATTGCAAAAAGAGAGATAATGAAATGGTGTCAATGTGCGCGCACATAAATTACCAAGTATGTGTTGCTGATTCATTTATGATTTGCCGTAACATGAACTCGTTCTGCTTTTGTCATGTTCTTTTTGAAATGTGTTTGTGGTTTTGCTCCGAAATAGTTTGCCCCATTCAGTGCCAATGATTGTGTAACTTCAATGGTGCAGCTGCCCCGTTTTGTGTATTTTATCTTAATCTTGTTGTTGTAGTTTCTTTTCTTTTTCTTTTTTTTTTTTGGGGGGGGGGGGGGGTCAATTGTACTCCGGTGTACTCCGTCTCACGAAAGCACAAAAGTGCTTTTGTGAGACAGATTTATATGTTTGCAAAATGAACCGAAAATAAACTATTACTAATAATAGTGCGAGCACCCGACGTAATATATGTGAGGGATGTACCAGGTGTCCCAAATACCAGCCAGGCTCTTTAAATTGACCGCAAAATTCAATTTCTTAACCTATCATGCTAGGATTTTGTGCAGCGTTTCCCTCAGATGGTGCATATTTTTTGTAAAATTTGCAAAGAGCGAACTTACCAGCAAAAAGTAAAGAAAGAAAAGGCCTAACTTCTATGGAAACTCAGCAAAGCTACCGGTCTTCAAACAGTACGGCGCCGTTTCACACGGGAGACGAGATGGCGCAAGCGGTCGCGATGCCAACTGCCGCCGAGGAACGAGCATATGGCGCCAAGAGCCGGCGTCAAATAGCAGACAATCTTTTCAACTCAAAAGCGGCGCACGTTCCGCAGGCGGCGACAGTCGCAGAACCAAAAACGGGCGTGGTAACAACAAGGAACTGTAAAACAGTCAAAATAACCGGAAAAGAAAAAAAACTCTAAAAAAAGTCAAAATAACTTGACAAACCATTTTTTTAATTGATTATCTGTCCATTCAATGTGTTTTGTTAGTAAGGATGCTAAGATTATGCATTGGCAACTGACATCGAAAAAGCTTCCGCCGCTTTTGTGTCGAAAATAACATCTGCTATTTGTTGCCGGCTGTCGGCGCCATATGCTCGTTTGTTGACGGCAATTGTCGTCATGACCACCTGTGCCCTTTTTTGTCTCCCGTGCGAAACGGCGCCGTGTTGTTTGAAGACCAGTGGCTGTGCTGCGTTTCCATAGGGGTTCCTTTTCCTTTCTTTACTTTTTCCTCAAGTAAGCTCGCTCTGCGAATTTTACAAAAAAAAATGCACTATCTGTGGGCAACGCTGCACAAAGTCGTAGCGCGATAGAAACCGAATTTTCCGGTCTTAAAGATCCACTATTTCATAAAAGAAACCAAATTTTCCAGTCTTAAAGAGCCACTATTTGGGACACCCGGTAGTGTGAGCTTGATTAATGTAGGTGAATCTGAGTAATATGGTGCAAGCGTTCAATGTAGTGCAAGCACTTGCCCGAGCACCCGCTGCAGTGCGAGCAAGAGGCGTAAAACGTAAGTGCGAGCACCCGAGCCAAAAGAGCGATTGCAACCCGACACCACCCTTTCCGTCGCTGCCGTCTTCAGTCCTCATTCTAAGGAAAAGTGCCGCACCACGCTCTCAAATGCCGCCCCACTGTTGAAACCGAAATTAGTCTGTTCTAAACAAAAGGCGCGCACACGTCGTTTCTCCTCTGCAGGCGGCGTGGCGGGCGCGTCGCTGCACGGCGCCCAGGGGGGCCCCTCGGCGTCGTCGCAGTTCTACACGGCGGAGACGCTGGCCATCGCAGTGACAACCAGCATCGTGTCCTCACTGGTGGTGGGCTTCATCAGCGGCTACATCTTCAGCCGGCGCTGCCGCGGGGACGAGGAGGCAGACGACGCATGCCCGGCGGACGACTACTCGCACTACCTGGACCGGGGGGGTGGCGGGGACCCCCACGCAGAGGGCTTCCTTGCGGCGGCCCACCACCACCACCACAACAACGCCAAGCCGATCAACCTGGTGCTGAACGTGCCGCCCAAGAACGGCAAGAACGCCAACAGTTCGGCCGACAACAAGCCCCTGCAGAAGGTGAAGAAGATCTACTTATAGCGGACGAGCGACGCCGCCACGGGAGCACTGCTGCGGCGGGAGGGCGCCCTGATCGACGTGAGTTTCCTCTTTTCGGCCATTCTGAGCGAATCCTACGCATCCGTGGCTCGGTTTGGAACCGAGGAAGCGGGCATCTATTACACACCTGCTTTAATCGTACACACAGGGGAAGAATGCACCCAATGAATATGATACAATATATAGGGCATCCCGAAGCAGACCTGACACCATAAAACGATGCTGCGTCTTCACAAAGAAAGCTCAAACTTTTACGCTGTGTGCACCAAGCAGGTCAGCATTACTTTGTGAGATCTTAAGGCGTAGTTCTCTTTCTAAAGAAAAGTGACAGCAAAAAGCTTGCGGAGGTCCACGTTAGGCACGTTCACAGATGATAGAGTTACCGACGCTATTGACTCGTGGTGCCGTCTTCCAATGAGCGCAGCTAGTAGGCGGCCAACTGTCGTCTGCTTGCTGCACTGTCGGTAGATGGCGCCACAAGTGAACGGCCTCGGTAGCTCGGTCGTCTGCGAATGCGCCCAACGTGGCCTTTGGTAAGTATTTTTAGAATGCAGCTCTTGGGTGCCCGTTTCCGTGTTTCGCGGCATTGCCTTCCAAGTCGGCGTAACCGGCTTGCTAAATTTAGTGGTAAATTGAATTGATGTTGAGGTCGTGTGACGTCAATTTTCTAGCTAAATCTAGTGTAGAAACTGAATTTGTTCATGGGTGACGTGACACAGTCATCTGACATCATTTTTCCTGCTAAATTTAGCGGGGAAACTGAATTGGTGTTGAGGTCATCTGATGTCAATTTTCCCGCTTAGTCTAGCGGAGAAATTGATTTTGTTCATGTATAATGTGACACAAAGTCATGTGACGTCATTTTCCCTGCTATATTTAGCCCGGAAACTGAATTTATGTTGGGGTCATGTGGTGTCAGTTTTCCAGCTAAATTTAGAGGGGAATCTGTGGGAGGAGGAGGAGGAGGGGAAAAGGAGAGGAGGAAAGGCATGCCCTCCCCCTCCTTCTCAAGAGCTGCGCTCTAATTTCATAATACAGATTTCTAAACATCTTTTAATTTTTTTTTTACTTTTTACGGGAAGAAAACTGTGCTTTAAAATTTCGCGCGGTAAAACTGACCTGCTTAGTGCACGTTCGGTGAAGGTTTGAGCATTCTATGTACAGGCGCTGATTTTTCCAGCTTCAGCTTCAGTTGTCACGGTCGAGCACGTGCATGAAGCCAAGGCTGGGCGAAAGGCATGGAGCTCATGCCTAGGCCAGGTGTTCGAAAAATATGCCATTCTTATTCTGGCAGTGACTCCAGCTTCTCAATGGCAAATACAGTCTTCCTTCATTGTATCGAAGTTACTTTTTTTCGAATTATCGCTTTTAATAAAGTTCAACGTGGTCCCGACCGATGTGCACGGATTTTCAACCAGACCATTCGAAGTGTAATGGCAGTTGACCGCACTTATTACGAAGGCCGAGGTGCAGAGACCCTCCTGTTCTCTCTCTGTTCTTCACCGAGGCGAGCGGCGAACACGGAGTAAACGAGTGACGGAGGGCAGAGCGCAGCTTCCGACGCCAATGTGCCGGTGCGGGGACGTGGGCTGGGGGCAGCGTCGAGGTCCCGACGCTACTCATGGCGCCTGCGGCTTGTGCTGCCCAACTCCTGTCGGAGTAGGGTCAAGGGAGCGATAGAGCCTGGAGGAGGTCATCCCTTCGGGAGTTCCCGACGCACACGCCTGGAGCGTACAACACGCGCACGTGCTTCGTATGGGACAAAGGGAATATATACCGAAAGTTCCTTAGACTTGCGAGGTTGACATAAGCGGCCAGCCCAAGGCCGAAATCGCCAAAGAATTAGACATTCCGGCATCGGCTGTTTGACGCTGTCCATCGTTTTCGGAACAAGCAAGGTATATTGGACAGGTTTGAGAGGTTTCTCTCATGCATGAGAAAGTGCACTCGCGACCCGAACATGAAAGATCGTCAACTGCTTCACGCACGTCAGATTTTCTCGCGAGCACGCTTGCCTAGCCAACGCATGATTTCCATAGCTGCAACTATGGAGTGCGTGAAAACGCGTTGGCAAAGCCACCTAGGATAACTGATTTGTCCTCGCTTGTTGATGCGGACGTTCCTGTTGTTGTAGACCTTGCGTGTGGCCAGGGTAAACACGAAGTGACGATGGAACCTTGGGAAACGCCGACAACCGCGGAGACATTAAACATTTTTTGGCTGCTTCGAAACAAAGTGGAGTGCTGCAATAGTGACAGTGTTCTTGCAATGCGTGGAGCAGTTCAAGGAGATTTGATGCCCGGATGGAATTATCGGCAAACTCCAATTAATTATTTTTTTTTTACTCGGTAAAGCTAGATGTTCACAACCAAGGTTTGTTTGATTAAATATTGTACACACTGTTCCCGTCCATCTTCAAGGCTCCTGGCACTGTTTTTTTTGGACTCTGTCGCTGTTTTCAAATTACAGTCGACTCTCATTAATTCAAACTCTTATTTTAAACTTGCGGGTAATTCAAACTAACATGCTGGTCCCATCCTATGCGTCTCTATGGGAGAAAACCCCCGGTGCTTTTTTTTCAAACAAATTTTCAGTCCCCCTCAAGTTGGAAATAACAAGATTTGACTGTACCGCTTTATTGAATTTTTTTTGCCGTCCTGTTGACTTTGTTATAACGAGGGATTACTGTATGGTTACAGTAATCTATATCGATCCACATCTATATCGATATTATTCTTATAATGTAACACCGCCAATCATTGCAACCAGAGAGTTTTCTGGGCAGAACTTGCCCTGCCTCTAGACCTGTGGCAGGCAATAGTGCTGGCGGTGTTGCGTCCGACCGTCATTGCCGACACTTTCAAGCCAGTGACCAGTCGTGCGCTTCGTCTCTTTGCAGGGATGAACGTGCGACCGACGAAGGATGCACCGGCCATTATGCAAGCAGACGACGGAGGGAGGGGCCGAGCGTCCGCTCTCTGCGGTCCACTGCAACTTCCCGGCCAATAGCGGCAATCGTACGGTCGTCACGTGCTTCCGAGGGGGACGGCCACCTCTACGAGGAGTCCTCGGCACAGTGCAGAGAGGGGCAGGCGTTCTTGTCGTTCCTGAGACACGACACACGCATGGCTATGGACGACGATGAGCAGTGCCCGGCTGCCGAAGCGGGAAGGGGGCCGCCATTGGAGGACGCAAGGGACCTACCATTTTGAGGACATATTGTTTGGGGAACAAGACTACAGGGACCTCGGCGCTTCTTCCGTGGTGCCACAGGGTTGCGTCGGATCGGGACTCGAAAGCAGCCGCGGAGCGCGTCGGTGCGAGAGTGCGGGCTCGACCGGCGTTTCGTCTGCTGACGACAACGTGCCCTTCGCGAGATGGCGTCCACGTGCGACTGCGTTGCATCCCATGCCTCGAAGTTGACCGAGTTTAGAGAGCAGATCGAAACCAAAAAAACCAGGACTACGGGGTCGACGAGATTCGTTGCCGTCTTGTGCTTCCCGAGAATGCTGTCGGCAAGGTGTGTCCAGTTCACCTTAGAACTCAATCCGAGGACCGCATTGCACGATTCTAAGAGCGCCGCTTCAGTTGCGTCGGCACCAGATTGAAGAGTCCCGTGCCCGTTTCTCGTACCGGTTTAACTCTTTGAGGTGTTTGCGAGACGGCGAGGCTGCATCGGCGTGAGGTCGCGGCAGCTGCATCGTAATTCTCGACTGCGTCCTCTCGACTTGTGAGACGTCGATCGCCGTGGCTGCGACGGATGTGCCGGCTGTGCAGTGAACCCTACGTGCTGCAACGCGGGCGATTGCCACAACGCGTCGGAAGGAGGCCCGCGTCATGAGCGGCAAAAGAGAGACTTCTAGTCGTGTCGGTGCGCGTCTGCTAGTTACTATCGTGTTGTCTTTCTACGATTCTATGAACCGTGCTCGCTGACGCAATCGAGCTGCGGTGGAACCGCGTGGCGGTGTCGCAACCCTGGCTGCACTTCAAAGCTCGTTTTTATTATTATTTGTTTCCCCTTTTTTTTTTATTGGCTCTTTTGACTCTGTTTCTAAACTGCGCCTAAGTTGTTGTTATATTGATGTTGTACTATACCTATGTGCTGTCTTTTTTCACCGATTTATATTGTTTTCGTAAGCAAGCATTCCCGTTGCTGTTTCATTGACGCAGCGCTTGCCAAAATGTCTTTCTTTTGTGCCTTCCCTTCTGCGTCTTTTGTTTAGTGATTATTTTTATCCCCGGCCACGCACCGCTTCAATGGCAAACAGCATCGTCTGCGCTCCTCCGCCAACCACTGGCGCTGGAAAAGTTTTATCTATTTATTAAAGGTCCCCCGGCCAACGTCTACGATTGTTTGCCGCATTTTGTACAGCATCGTTGTTTTTTCCCTTTTGATTTCATTTACAGTTCTCGTGGTCATATCAGCTCGCCTGTAGATGCTACCATTTGATCCTCGTCTGCAATGAAGAGAAGATTTTTATTTCATTTGGTGTTTATCGTGTACAAAACTCGCTTGTTTTTTACCGACCGTGTAATGAAATAATGACTACACACTCGTCTTCACCTCAAGAAAAAAAGCAAGTTTTGCACATTGTTCGTACACTGCGCAAAGTAGTTCTTACGAGATTTGGTTGTCGGAGGGAGAAACAACACTTTAGGCGTTTGAATGTGTACGTCTTGACGACGTATCTCTAATCTAAAATGCACCTGCACATATCTCAATTCCATACATAGAAGGGGATATCAGTCTCTTTTACTACGGGTTCTTGAGGTGAAAACGAGTGGAGTCGCACGATTATCTCGATTTACCTAGTCCGAGTCAGGAGAAAAGATATCCCAAGGGGTTTTGCTCCCAGCCAATCGTCTTGACGCCCCCTTTTCCTCCCCTTTTTGTCGATCGTCTCTTAAAGACGGAAGTGCCGATCTTGCGAATCCGAGGCGGCTTGGGATGCTTTCCTCTCGGGGGGGAAAAAAAAAACGTGCTCGGCTTGTGGAGTTTGAACGGGCCAAATGCTTTTTCATACCGAGAGTGCGTGCGTTTCAACACGGTACCCAGTTTTCTTTATCTCACCGTTTCCGACGTCAAGTACAGTCGTCCACACCGTTAAGCGGAGCAAGGCTTAGCCTTAGATACAAACGCCACAAAGGAACGAGCGATGACTGAGCGTTCTTTCGTGTCAGTGTTTATCCGGTTCGCTGCGACAGGTGCTCTCGCTTCTATTGACAGTGTGGACTGCTGTACGTCGGTTCCGTCGTGCCGTTTTTTTGTTTGTTTTTGTACATGTATGTGTGTGCTTGTGTTGTGCATAGCAATCAATATATCCGAGGTTTTACAGTTGCTTTCAGAGCTCCCTAGTTGATCGAGTTTTCCGTCGACAATAATGAAACGCGGCTGTTTGATGACCGCTTTACCGTTGGCTGGACGACGTGGGATTCAAACCTTTTTTTCTTGAAACCGAGAGGGCTGTTAGGTTTGTCCGGGGCGCGAAGCTCACACAACGATAGCGGGAGGACAGTTTTGTGTCTGTGTCTCTGTACAGAACTGTGACAGACGTTTTTCAGCTTCCCTTTCCTCATCCCGGTAATATTGACAGGCATTGCAAGCAGCCCCACCAGAGACAAACCTCTGCTCACAACGTTGCATCCATACTGGGGTGCGTCCCTCCCAACCCTGTACGTAGTCTGTTATGGTCCCTTTTTCTTTTTTATTGTAGTAACTGTATTCTTTGTCAGTCATAGTGTACTTTAGTTCGCCTTCCCTCTGCCACCATAATCACCGAGCTATTCTCATTAATGTCTACGCTCTTCCTTTGCCCGTTTTCCGAAGTTTGCCCGTAATTTGATGTGGCTTCCATACTGTCAGTAATAATTGCACAAAGGATGCCAGCGTTTCGAGGTTGGCGTTTTGCGGGAATTTCAGTTTGGTTCGCTTTTGTAATTTAGCCAATTTGCGCGCTTGTGGCCGATTCAATTCGGCGAAGACAAAAAAAAAAGACCCGACATTGTGCGGCTCTTAGGTAAGCCTGTATATGCGACAGACTGAATTCGTTGGGTTTGGACGAGTTTTGAGAAAGAAAACGACGACGTAAAAATTGATTTTTTTACTGCATGATAGTACTGTAAAGTTTGCAATTGCGAAAGAAATAAGGAGTGCTGCAAGTCTTGGGCAGACGCCGCAGTACATCAAAAACTTCTATTGCAGCGATAGACAGTTTTCATTGTTAAAAGAGCTTCGGGTAAAGCAATGGAAGTTTAAAACAAAATGTGTTGCAACTTTTCACAGATGCTGCAGTCCCTTAACAACTTCAAAGAATCGCTAGCAGGCCCCTGCATCGTCTCGTATTCAGCGCCAAAGAGCATCATTCTAGAGCCGCCCGTGATGCGGCGCAATATGTGTACAAGGTTGCAAGGCGGGTCTTGCTTCGATGCCAGTTTTAGCTTTACGTAAGTGTCTGTCGTTTTAGTTCGTAGAAGGGACAACCCGCGGTCAAAACGGACAGAGGGGTAAAAAAATAAACTGAGGTGCCTTTGTTTGACGAAATCTTTCTGCATGGCGCGTGTGTACTTGCGCAAACGTGGGTGCAGCCGAAATACTTACGACATGCAATACAACGTGAAAATGCTACAAAAAAAAAATGTCGAGGACATTCCGAATTAGGGATGTGTTCAAATGCCCCCTTTTTTTTCTTATTTTTGGCAGCTATCTTTTTTTTTACCCATAAAGATTTTTGTGGTTGCGGACAGGATGAGAATGACATGGAGGAGCTTCAGTTGTCCCGCCCCCAGTGCAAGCTTCCCACCTTCGGTAATGCTTCAGAAGCGCTGCGGAAGGCCAGAAGTGCATGCTGGAAGCCGAGCATCGAAAGAGGTGCCCAATGTTCTCGTCCTGTCAGCGTCTATGGAACAGAAAAAGGAAACTTAGGAAATCAGTTGCTATCAAAGAGAAACATATTTATTGAACCGAGTTTAAAATATGTTGCGTTGTTAGAAGACAGTTTATGGTACACCTACGTTTCCCCGAACCGCTGTTAAAAATTCCCCTCTGTTCTTCAAAAACCGTTGCAAGTACCGTTGCTTTTTTTTCTTTTTTAAGAACCTTTATGCGCCAGCGTTGTTTTGCTCGTTTGTTCAAAGATGTCACGTGCTGCTCCAGCGAACATACAGTGCTCATTCTTGTGTGTGTGTGCACGTGTACGAGTTTGTTTTTTAGATGAAGCTTCTTCGTAAGTAAGTTTTAAGCCTTTGGCTTGGACCCCCTTTTATTTCTTTGTTCGTCAACACAATAACTGCTAGTAATAACACTATTACAGGGACATAACCTTTTTCCCCTCCCTCAATCGTGCCCCCCCCCCCCTTTTCCCCATTAGTCTAACGGTGAGATAGCAGATTGTGCGTACCGCTCCATATCCTTTTTTTTTTTTGTACATGGAGAGAAGAGCAGCCCCAGGTAGAGATTCGGCTCTCTGCGGGTTATCGTGTCCAAGCCCAGAGAGGATTGTTGTACAGCTATGTTGATGTTAATACGACAATAAAACTTCTTCTCCAGCAATCGCTCGCTGTGGCTTCCTGGCGAATGCGTTTTCGGTTGGATTTGGGGGCATTTATAAGGTTCCCCAAGCTTTCTCTCGTCAGTCGAGCCAAGCAACCCAACTCGTTCTGCCGTACACTGCAGAAACGTCCCACTTTAATTGCCGAATTCCGTTCCGGTGAAGCTAACTCTGATTTAGCTGTGAAAAAAGTGACTGAAGCATGACCAGCTGACAAATACCTGCACCGTGCAACTGACAAAGCAGGAGGGAGGGCTTTGAGATGCTTCAAGAAGGCTTAAGCAGCTACAAAAACTTCAAAAGCAACGAGGAAAAATAAAAGAAACGGTGCGAAAGGAGGGTGTGGTAACGGTGACACGTCGTTGCACGCTCGGAAGGCCAAGATTGGAGTTCCACTGCATTCCTCATATAATTCTATTTGGCATACGACGGTTCGATCCGACATCAAATTGAAACCACAAATCTTTTTTGCATAGCATGTCATCCGTTAAAGTGTGGTAAAACACCAGTACTGTATTAGAATACAGGTCACATTTTTTTCCATTTTTCTCTGAATTTGGCAGCGGTGGAACTTACAAGTGGCGATTAGGAGCAGCTCCTGAAGCAGGGGACAACAGGTTTTGGAGCAGAGATTCCCATTCTTGGAGCAGATAATTTTGAGCTTTCATGTCAGAAAATTTTATACAATCTCTTTGAAAATTAGTTTGTGGAAAAAAAATGCAGTTGTTGGAGTGTTGGTTTACTAAAGTGTCATATCTACGGAGATTTTTTTTTTTATTGAACATTCATATGCAGGTAATTTGGCAGATGTCTCAATTAATGTATTAGGAGTACCGATGGCGTCTAGGGTTTGTGTCAGGGTGACGTCATTGTCATGAGCTCGACATCAAACGGACACTTTCATGTTGAATGTGTCCCAGGCAGCTGTCTGCTTTGTAGTAGCTACAAGCAGATAATATTTGCTTACCGTACCTACATTGAGATGGCAATTGTAAATGACAGATTTTACATACAATTAAAAAGGAGCCCAGCCATACCTAATTGAGGTGATTTATAAATATTCTTGCTGTATGGGCAAATATTTTCTTCAATTCTGAACTAAAAAAAAATAACACGGGTTGTTAAACATTGCTGCCTAACATATACTGTTGCATTATGCAAGTTAAATTTTGAAGATTTTACTGCAATGTAAATATCAACAATCACAAAGTTTCCTTTTTCTTAATACATTAGGAGCGCGCGTGCATTATACCGCCTTGAAAATGTGTTCTTCGCCTAAGCGCGCGGCTGCGCTGCGGCGAAGCGAGTCGCGAGGTCGCTGTGTTAGCTCCGCGGGTATTGCCTCTCCACAGTGCCCTGGTGCTTGAGGAGAAGCGCACTCAAGGAGGCTAACCCGCCGCGATCAACACTTCGAAAAGTACGAACATCGCAGTTAATTTTGAAGCGAATATCAAATAGCATATTATATGAAACTACTATTTGAATATTCGCGCAACCCTATTCTTCGCACATAATGCTTAAACATAAAAAAATGAGCCATTCCACTCTGTGAAGGTGTTTAGCATGCGACACAGACGTGACGCAGAATTTTCAACAAATGTACAAACACATTTATTGTCTTCATCGGTGGCCATCGTGACGAAAGGTACGCAGACACATTTACTGTCTTGATCGGTGGCATCCATTATTTCGCGTGGACGACTATCGAGGAGCCGGAGGACACTAGACACCTGCGACGGGACCGCCACCCCGGGAGAGCGAAATGAAAGGAAACTAGGCACGCAAGTGCTTGGAACAACGACAAAGCTAGAGGGCGGTACAAGTGTAGACATGGTCGACGCGGGTCGCACAGCGGCAAATCTTGGAGAAACCGTTATTATTTACCTGAGAGTCCACTGATCTTGAAAAGTGTGCCTATAGATAACTAATCCACTGAATAGACCGATTGCTAAATTAGCCGAGCATCAAGGAGAATGCAGGGAATGGTGTTCCACGCGCCGCACGTGCCGGCGTCTGCATGCAGTAACTGTTCTAAAGCAAAAGCCTAAAGCAAATGGCTTCCTGGACGGCGTTCGTCAGCGCTTTATTTTGGTTAATTCAAATTACTCGTGCGGCTCCGGCGTCTACAGAGGTAATTGTTTTAAAGCAAAAGCCTAAAACAAATGGCATCTTGCACGCGCGTTCGTCAACGCTTTATTTTGGTTATTTACATTGAATCTTTTATACGGGGAAGGCGTGCGTGTGCTGCGGCGCAACGGTAGAGTTTTTGTCGATGCACATGAAAAATCCACGGAACCCTAGCCATAAACAGCTTCGCTGTAAAAACTGTACTTTTTTATATTTAGTAGCATCTCCAACAATGCCACGTGCCAATTTCAGTTTCCTTTTCAAGAAAAACTCCCTTTTGGCACAGACGTGGCACGAATTGTGCACAGATATAGCCTTTGTAGCAGCATGTAGCAGGTTATTCCTTCTGGCGCAAACGGCGCAGCAATTCCACCACTGATTTGGGGGTTAACTTATTGTGGCTGAATAAGTTTCCTACCACGTCGAGCTAACCGAGATGCTCCCCTGGTACAACCGCTTCTGTGGAGAACGCGTCAACACGTTCGTGCCCAGAACAAGGAGTAACTTTATTCTCTCGAAAATAACAGACGATGCCGCCCTGCGGTGGCACAGGGTTGCCTGCGGCAATCACGTACGCAAGGGTTGCGCCCTCTACAGCTTCTTCGAGCACACCAGTACAGCGCAGTGAAGCTTGGCACGCACGTTCTACATGCAGCGAATTTCTACAAGCAGCGCGCCAAGTCTTCCTTTTCCAAACGGCGCTCCGGCGGTGACGTCACGCTCCCCCACTGCGCAGGCGTGGCGAACCCCGCCGGCTTCACTGCGGCTTCTGTGACGAAGCATCCGCGTTGCTGTGCTTTTTGTTCTATTTCTAAGGCTTGTCCGCTTTGACCTTGATCGCCCTCACAGGCTTCCGTGACGAAGCATCCGCGTTGCTGTGCTTTTTGTTGTGTTCTATTTCTGCTCAGGCTTGTCCGCTTTGACCTTGATCGCCCTCGCAGGCTTCCGTGACAAAGCATTCGCGTTGCTGTGCTTTTTGTTGTGTTCTATTTCTGAGGCTTGTCTGCCTTGACCTTGATCGCCCTCGCATGCTTCCGTGACGAAGTATCCGCGTTGTGCTTTTTGTTGTGTTCTATTTCTGAGGCTTGTCCGCTTTGACCTTGATCGCCCTCGCATGCTTCCGTGACGAAGTATCCGCGGTGTTGTGCTTTTTGTTGTGTTCTATTTCTGAGACTTGTCCGCTTTGACCTTGATTGCCCTCGCATGCTTCCGTGACGAAGTATCCGCGTTGCTGTGCTTTTTGTTGTGTTCTATTTCTGAGGCTTGTCTGCTTTGACCTTGATCGCCCTCGCATGCTTCCGTGACGAAGTATCTGCGTTGTGCTTTTTGTTGTGTTCTATTTCTGAGGCTTGTCCGCTTTGACCTTGATCGCCCTCGCATGCTTCCGTGACGAAGCATTCGCGTTGCTGTGCTTTTTGTTGTGTTCTATTCTGAGGCTTGTCCGCTTTGACCTTGATCGCCCTCGCATGCTTTCGTGACGAAGCATTCGCGTTGCTGTGCTTTTTGTTGTGTTCTATTTCTGAGGCTTGTCTGCTTTGACCTTGATCGCCCTCTCATGCTTTCGTGACGAAGTATCCGCGTTGTTGTGCTTTTTGTTGTGTTCTATTTCTGAGGCTTGTCCGTTTTGACCTTGATCGCCCTCGCATGCTTCCGTGACGAAGCATTCGCGTTGCTGTGTTTTTTGTTGTGTTCTATTTCTGAGGCTTGTCCGCTTTGACCTTGATCGCCCTCGCATGCTTTCGTGACGAAGCATTCGCGTTGCTGTGCTTTTTGTTGTGTTCTATTTCTGAGGCTTGTCCGCTTTGACCTTGATCGCCCTCGCATGCTTCCGTGACGAAATATTTGCGTTGCTGTGCTTTTTGTTGTGTTCTATTTCTGAGGCTTGTCTGCTTTGACCTTGATCGCCCTCGCATGCTTCCGTGACGAAGCATTCGCGTTGCTGTGCTTTTTGTTATGTTCTATTTCTGAGGCTTGTCCGCTTTGACCTTGATCGCCCTCACATGCTTTCGTGACGAAGCATTCGCGTTGCTGTGCTTTTTGTTGTGTTCTATTTCTGAGGCTTGTCTGCTTTGACCTTGATCACCCTCGCATGCTTTCGTGACGAAGCATTCGCGTTGCTGTGCTTTTTGTTGTGTTCTATTTCTGAGGCTTGTGTGCTTTGACCTTGATCGCCCTCGCATGCTTCCGTGACGAAGTATCCGCGTTGTTGTGCTTTTTGTTGTGTTCTATTTCTGAGGCTTGTCCGCTTTGACCTTGATCGCCCTCGCATGCTTCCGTGACGAAGCCTTCGCGTTGCTGTGCTTTTTGTTGTGTTCTGTTTCTGAGGCTTGTCCGCTTTGACCTTGATCGCCCTCGCATGCTTCCGTGACGAAGCCTTCGCGTTGCTGTGCTTTTTGTTGTGTTCTATTTCTGAGGCTTGTCCGCTTTGACCTTGATCGCCCTCGCATGCTTCCGTGACGAAGCATTCGCGTTGCTGTGCTTTTTGTTGTGTTCTTTTTCTGAGGCTTGTCCGCTTTGACCTTGATCGCCCTCGCATGCTTTCGTGATGAAGTATCCGCGTTGTTGTGCTTTTTGTTGTGTTCTATTTCTGAGGCTTGTCCGTTTTGACCTTGATCGCCCTCGCATGCTTCCGTGACGAAGCATTTGCGTTGCTGTGCTTTTTGTTGTGTTCTATTTCTGAGGCTTGTCTGCTTTGACCTTGATCGCCCTCGCATGCTTCCGTGACGAAGCATTCGCGTTGCTGTGCTTTTTTTTGTGTTCTATTTCTGAGGCTTGTCCGCTTTGACCTTGATCGCCCTCGCATGCTTCCGTGACGAAGCATTCGCGTTGCTGTGCTTTTTGTTGTGTTCTATTTCTGAGGCTTGTCTGCTGTGAC